CTGAACCAACCAACCTACTGCTATGTTGGTTGTGTTGGTTCAGATATTTATCTAATTTACTGCAAAACTGGGAATTACCGTGTGATACAACCTTTGTTGATATCGAGTTGTCATGCAAGCGCTTAAATTACACGAGTCTATATTGACAAAAGCAAGCCACAGCTCCACTTCTATGGGAATACACGATTCATCAACACAGAAAGTGTGAAGTGAGACCCAGCAAAACTGTGCAGCAGAAACAGTGCGGAATCAGTTTTCTTCTTAACCTCCCCAGAGAATAAGTGCATCCAACATTCAGGAATGCAATCCTGTAGTAGGACAAAGGTAAGACGTGAAGGTAATAATTCTTAGTCAGCAGTCCTGCGTTGGTTCTGATTGCTGCCGTAATTCTCGTTTATTGGTTCTTGCAGAATGTTAAACTCTATCCTTCACATCAGCATTGTTCCCCTCCAAGTTATTACATGAAACGAATCACAGTATTGTTGGTCCATGTACACCTTGCCATGAAGTCTTCTGATTGATTATAGCCTGAAATGAACAAGTTGTATATTTTGACGGCAGATCGACAAATGATCAGAAATGGTCGAAGCCCGTATCTCAAAGTCCATGTTCGTCTTGTCTACATCTTACATGCTACAACTGCAGATCACACTGATTTCCTCAATTTTCCTCGGCTTGAGTGCGCATGTCATTTTAATGGACAATTTTACAGTTATACTGGATGACGTTGTTTGTCACAGCGTTTCGATATTCCTGCGCAAACACTGATTTTTATATTTAAATACTCATAACTTCATTTACACTTAAGGGTTTTTACAAACGACGCCCGAAACCTTCATTCGCAGAAGTAGAATTTGATACGCATCTGTATCAATCGTACGCCTCTGTAACTAGAAGGATACTACACTGTACCGCCTATCACCATAAAACCCTTTTGATTTTAGGTTGATGAGCTGTGTAGTGCTGCCAATGAAGATTTCTTCCTGTCCTACTTGAGCCATAAATAAATCGAGCTGACTTACAACCATTGTTCGATGCCACTTAACATCTTGACACTAAATCCACTGTTAATTAGATCGTTGGTTTGAAAACGGATCTCAATCTATTGTCTATGAACGGATGACACACATCTCGGAAAAAAAAATCGTTCATACTATATTTATACCATTTCAAGCATTAGTACAGCACCGCAAATAACGTTCTCGACTTGCTCTGTGCATACATTTGTAAATATCTCGACAGCAACACGCAGCAAACAATACGTATACTAGCATGTACGTGAGAAGTAGTTTCTTTGAAGTGCGAGCGGTGGGATGGAAGCTACTTGAAGTAGTTTAAGTTCACTTCCATTGAATATGCAAAATCATACGTTAAATATACATGACGTGCAATGTCAACATGACAGTATACTTTTATTTTAATTATTGTTATTGTAGTAGGGAGAATAATATTTATTTGAGTTGGCAACTCCTAATCGGGAAAATTATGGATTCGCGGGGAAATCCGAATATTGTATTGTTTTTGGGTCTGGGTCACTCTGGGACCATTCTCGAAATTTCAGTGCACAATGTCGAAAAATTGTGACCCATATTTGTTTAAACCCCCCCCTATACTGTACTTCTTTTAGGTCTCTTGCTGTACGGGTAAATAGTCGGGTACATACCTATACAAACACAAATTGATGACACATTATGTGTCATAGTTGAACAGATAATATACTGTAGAAGATACGGATGTCGTAAATGTATTTTTAATATATATAGGCTCGGTCGAAAGAAAAATAAATGTGTTTTTGACTATACGGGGGCACGAGAGATGACATTTTCTTAAAAACAACATACACCGGGTTGAAAAATAAAAGACATGTTTGAAATAGCCACGCGAACCTAAATCGATAAAATACTATATATAAAAATGAATTCATACATATGTACTAAGGTGCATACTCTAAGCATGCAAGAATACTTGGCCTGGCTGTCACCTTGAGACTTGCACATACTTCAGACACGGCATTCAACAAACAAGGCATCTGTTAGACACACACCACCGCATCAGCATAGAAATTATACATTATGAGTGACGAAGTGAAAGAGTTGGAGGAACAGGTTCAGGCCCAGGCTCTTAATGTCAGGTAACAGGGGAGTCCTACAAAGCCACGTCCCAATATATATGTATATATACACACACACACAAAATACATGCATACATGCATAAATAGAAACATACATAGAAATTTATATACATATATACATACATCCATAGATATAGAATACACACATACGTATATACGTACACACACACATACACACATCCACCCACACACACACACACA